CTTATTCTTCTCTGTTCCTCTCCAGTGTAAGTAAGTGTTGTTAGTACTGGAAACTGGAAAGTGTAATTATAGAAAGCTTTACTTGGTTAGCCTAACTTGCTCTTTGAGAACTTCCAATTTAGTGGCTAATTAGTTTAATGGCTTATTAGTATTCCTAAAGCCCTTCTAACACTCATTTTCATTTGCTTTGTTTTGTTGGTTATTCTGCCTAATCCTATTTTTTTAAATTTCTGTTGTTTTATGAAGAATATTGGAAGGGATACACCAACATCAGCTGGACCAAACTCTTTCAATAAAGGAAAACATGGGTTTTCTGATAACCAGAAGCTATGGGAACGAAATATAAAATCTCATCTTGGAAATGTTCATGACCAAGACAATTAAATGATGTGTTTTGAAATTGGGGTATGGGGTGGGTGTAAAGTTAAAAGGAACAGTTTCCTTTTTTAAAGAATGGTATAAGACTATCTTTGGAGCCGCTTTTTTTTCTTTTTCGTTTTTGTTTTTGTTTTGTTTTGTTTTTTAAGATTGAGTGGTACACTAATAAATGAGAGTTTGAAATTAGAGGTAATTTATGTTTTATATACAGATTTCAAGACATTTGCTAATTTTGTAGTTTCATGTGATTAGTTTCCAAAGGTTACAGATAATAAAGAAATCAGAAATGGTACCTTTTTAAGAATTGCATATTTTTTTAGGCACAACTATTAGCACATTAAGAGGGAAACAAAAAGTTACTATCTTTTTAAAACTGCAAGCAGTTACTCTCCTAACTTAACTCCCTCATTACCTAAAGTATCTGGCTCCCAGGAACAGCCTTATAGAGAGAAGGGAGTATTGTACTGAGAGGAAAATGTTACTGGACTATTGACTGATAATAAATTTAGATAAAATTAAAAAAAAAATAAAAAAATCAAAATCCTTGTCTCCAATGTCCTTATCATATACTGTCTGAAGTAATAGATTGCATTTTCATATATAATCTTAAAAGTCACTTAACTGGCATTGTGGACAGGGATGCTTTAATAAAACAACAAAAAATAAGTAGGCTTCTCTGAGAAATATCAGTTTCAAGCAATGTAGCTAAGTGTCCTATGGATGTGGGATTCAACTTTCTCAGTTTTGTTAGGTTAATTATGACTCATGCATCTGTTTTTTTTTATCTCCCAAAATATTGTTATTATTTTTTCCTCTGGTTTTCATTATATTTGTGGATTTTTCTATGTTTAATCTCATTACATCCTATTAGGAATTTGAAAGAGGACAAACTGTATATATTCAATAGACCTTCTTTGAGTAGTTATGGTATTATTATTCATTGAGCTCTTACTTACTAGTCGGTTCCTGCACTACATACATTACCTGTGTAATTTCACTATATTTTGTGGACAGCCTTAGTGGTAAAGAGGTGAAGGTAGGGTCAGAACTGAGGTCTTTTGACTGCATAGCCTGTATTCCTCACACTGTACCAACTGTACTGTTGTATATTTTTTACCTTTTCATAGCTCTATTTAATAATAATAAGATATTTAAAATTAAAATCACCCAACACAATAATTCTTTTTTGCAGTATTTTCCATTTAGCTTTTTCTAAAAGCTGAGTTTTCAGAAAATCATCAATTTCTTCATATGAAGAAATTAGTGCTCTTTTAATGAAATATGAGGTAGTTTCAGTATTGTGTTTCTAAAAGACTCCAGAACTTCATCATTTGAATAAACCAAATATTTTCTGTTATCCTTCCTTCTTTGGTTTGTACTGTTCCTTACAAGACTCTTGTCATTATTAGGGGCCTTGAAGAAAAAAGGGATATTTTATATATATTAAAATAAAAGTATGTATAACAAGAGTGTTTTGGGTTTCAAAATTTTGATTTGTGCATTGGTGTTTAATGTATATATATGGGTTATTTAAAAATTTGTCTTTTTAAAAATTGCCTATAAATAAAACTTTTTTCCTAACTTTACTGTGTATCATAATAGTAAATATCTGTAAGCATTATAGATTGGAAGGCATATTTCAACTTCAAAATGTTGTCAAATAGAAATTACTGTACTTCAAATGGTAGTTTATGAAGTTCTATGTGAGTAAAAATGTGTTAGTAGTAATGAAAACTAGTATGTATTCAGATCTAAGAATGTTTCAAATGGCTAAGTTAAGCACAGATGCTTTGGTACATTTGTTTAGCAAACAACTGCTAAGGTCAAGGCACTATCCTAGTCTCTTGTGCTTAAATGCAAAATTAAGAAAAGTTGAATGAAAATCTCTAAAAGGGAGACCTTTTAATAAAGGACTGTGTTTAAGGAAAACAAATTGAGATCAAAAGAGGAAAAACATACAAATAAAAACCATGAAACAAAAATAAATATGAAAAGTAAATTTTAGAAGACAAAGACAATTTTAAAAATTCCTACTCATAAAAATAAGATCAAATTATCTTCTGTTATCGTAAGACAAAAAGAAAGCCTGCTTTACATAAATCAGTATGCATAATTTGTGGAGCACTGGACTACTGGAAGGTTGCCAGAATAGCTTTTGGTGAGATGAAATCCAGGGGAGTTCTTATTTACAGGAAACTAGTTAATGTTGTTTTCTGTTCTTTGCTTGTGTGCTTCTGTTGATTTTTCTTAATGTTCTTCTTGATTCCAGATGGCTAGCGTAGTGAGAAAATTCTCAAAAATATTGGTTTGTGAGATATTGATAAGGAGTAAAGTTCAGGTTCTTATTCTGTTGTGTAAATGTGTAAATGATTATACTTTAATTACCAATGTTCTGTGGGAGGTAATTAGGTCATGAAGGTGACACTTATGTGAATGAGATTAGTGCCTTTATACAAAGAGGCCAGAGAGTTAGTTAGCTTTCTTTCTGCCATGTGAGGATACAATGAGGAACCAACCATCTATAATCTGGAAGAGGACCCAAACAAGAATCTGACCATGCTGGCTTGCATCCTCATCTTGGTCTTCTAGGATCCAGAACTGTGAAGAATAAATTTCTGTTGTTTATAATTCAGCCAGTCTATGGTCCAAACTATGAATGCTTTTTAAAGTAGTGACATGGTTGATGGTATTTAAATGCATGTTTTAGCACTGTTAGTGTGTGATGAGGACAGGGAATTCTTTGATGAGGTAAAGGCCATCAGCTGGAATCCTACGAGTGTCAGCTTGCTCATTCTATGACAAAAATCTGCTATTTTAACACTAACTCACCACCTGTCAAAAGTAGGCCCGTGGGCATAAGGAGCACCAGATGAGACAATGTGGATGGAATAGTGCACCTCCATTATTAGAATCATGACCACAAATCAAGGTCTGTCACTGTCATTGGCAACTGTTTAGTAGTCTTGTGTCTGCACATATTATGTATATAGAAAGACATAGTATATGTCTTTTAGAAGACAAGAACAAGAAATTTTTATATATGTGTATTATATATAATTTTTATTTATTTTCTTTCATTTATTTTATACACAAAATATAAAAGTTGTGCATATTAACATGGTACTATGTAATTTTTGCTACATGTATACATTGTGTAATGCTTAAATCAGGTGAAACTTATCTCTTCAAACATATATCAATTCTTTGTGGTGAAAACTTTCAAAAATCTGTTCTTTCAGCTGTTTGAAATGTATATTCATAATTGTTATATAAAGTTACCATACTATGTGGTAGTACCCCAGAACTTCTTGCTCCTAGCTGGTGTGCAAGGTTTCCCTTTTTTCTGCAACCTTGCTAGCAACTTGATATCTAAATTTAATCTTTTTGATATTAGCCATTCTTAGTGGGATGAGGTGATATCTCATTTTGGTTTTGATTTACATTTTTCTGATTGTTAGTGATGTTGAGCATTTTTTTCATGTACCTGTTTATATGTTTTCTTTTGATAAATGTCCATGTATGTCTATTGCCTTTTTTTTTTTTTTTAAAGTACCTGGGATTGAACCCAGGGGCATTTAACTAGTGAGTCATATCCTCAGCCCTTTTTTCATATTTTATTTAGAGACAGGGTCATGCTAATTTGCTTAGGGCCTCCCTAGGTTGCTGAGGCTAGCTTTGAACTCATGGTCCTCCTCAGTTCTTAGCTACTGAGATCACAGGCGTGCACCGCCCCGACTCTATTGCCCATTTTAAAATCAGGTTATTTATTGTATTGCTATTGAGATCTTGTAGTATATATTTTGGACACTAAACCCTTGTCAGGTGTATACTTTCTCCCATTCTGTAGGTTCTCTCTGCAATGTTGATTGTTTTCTTCACTTTTAGAAGCTTTTTAATTGAATATAATTCCATTTGTCTATTTTTGCTTTGTTTTCTGTGCTTTGGGGATTCATGGCATATTTTTATAATCTCCTTCCTGATTTGGTCCTCATTTTCTTTTCTTTTTAAAAATATTTTTAGTTGAATATGGACACACTACCTTTATTTTGTTTAGTTTTTTTTTATGTGGTACTGGGGAGTGAGCCCAGTGCCTCAGGCATGCCTCATTTTATTTTCTTTGAGTATAGCTTTTCATTTTTAAAATTCTTTTTGGGATCCCTAAACATCAAAAATTTAATTTAACCTTTCTTTTTCCCCCTCTCCTTTATTATATACATAATATCTTTATCTCTTTATGTTTCCTCAATTAATGTTTAATTCCAAAGGATGATAAAATAGAAAGATTTCTAAATTATACCAGAAACAAAAATTGATCTACTTTAGAAAAAAATAAAAAAACTCACTTTTCTCCCCTCTTCCTTTTTTTTTTGCATTACAATTTTTAATACACCATTAGACCACAATTTATCATATCTCTGATTGTATATAAGGTATGTTGACACCAAATTCACATCTTTTTTTTAACATTTTTTTCATTTATTTTTTAGTTGTAGTTGGACATAAAACCTTTATTTATTTATATTTATGTGGTGCTGAGGATCAAACCCAGGACCTCACATGTGCTAAGCGAGCGATCCACTGCTGAGCCACAACCCCAGCCCCCAAATTCATATCTTAATAAAAAAAATATGGAACACTTCACAAATTTGTGTTTCATCCTTGTGCAGGGGCCATGCTAATCTTCTATGTATCATTCCAATTTTAGTGTAAGTGCTGTCGAAGCAAGCACTAATTTAATTTTTCTTAATTTTGTATTCCATTTTATGCTCCAGTGCCTAGGACACTGTTATGAATATGGAAAAAGCTTAGTTAGTTAAACAAGATAGCCCCCAAAGATTCTTTTTTGAAGTCAGTTTATTCATGAGTAATATTCTTGTATCCTGGTGTAGACTGGCTTCCCTTATTCCTGATATATCTTTATAGGAAGGTAGATAAATAAATAGCCTCTTACAATGGAATACTTTCTATTTGTTAGCATTTTCCAATTTAAATAAGCATATAAAAGCCTACGTTAGGACGATAAAAGGTCAAAAATCTTTGTCAATAATAATGTTACTAATAATAGTATTAAGGGCTGGAGATGTGGCTCAAGCGGTAGCGAGCTCGCCTAGCATGCGTGCGGCCTGGGTTCGATCCTCAGCACCACATACAAAGAAAGATGTTGTGTCCGCCGAGAACTAAAAATAAATATTAAAAAAAAAATTCTCTCTCTCTCTCCTCTCTCACTCTCTCTTTAAAAAAAATAATAATAGTATTAATAAATTTATGATGACAATTATTGATATATTTTAGTTTAAATCCTACAAAATTGTAAATATAATTTTTCTTTAAAAAATTTTTAATTTGTTTTAATTAGTTATACATGACAGCAGAACACATTTTGTTTCATAGTACACAATTGGAGCACAACTTTTTTCATTTCTCTGGTTGTACACAATGTACAGTAGTACCATTTGTGCAATCATACATGTACCTAGGGTAATGACGTCCTTCTCATTCCACCATCTTTCCTACCTTCATGCCCACTCCCCTCTCTTCCTTCCCCTTTACCCAATTCAAAGTTCCTCCATTTTCCCCATATCCCCTCACCCCATTATGGGTTAGCATCCACTATTCAGAGAGAATATTCAGCCTTTGGGTTTTTGGGGTTGGCTTACTTCGCTTAGCATGATATTCTCCAGCTCCATCCATTTATCTGCAAATGCCATAATTTTATTCTCTTTTAATGCTGAGTAATATTCCATTGTGTATATATACCACAGTTTCTTTATCTGCTATAAACAATGATGTGGCTGTGTCACTATAGCAGGTTGATTTTAAGTCTTTGGGTAGAGACTGGAAATTGCCTATATTTGACCATGACCTGTAAAAGTGGCGTTTTCTTATAGTTTAGCCTAAAATGCTAGTAATGATAGCAGCTCATTTGCATTGACTACTTACAATGCTAAATGATTTCATGCATTATTGGATCCTCCAACCTCATGAGCAAGTATTGTCACTTCTCCCATGTTATAGACAATGTTAGAGGAGAAAGTAACTTTTCTGAAGTCACTTAGAGCAGCACTCTTAATGTTTAACTCTCTTATTTTGCCTGGCAGAGTTGATTGAGTGAATAGACTACAAGAAGACAAGAAGAAAGTTAAGAATATTTGGCTGTTAAAAACAGTATCAGATCTAACACTGATACTTCAAAATAGCTATTGCTATTTTGAAGTCATTTTATCATCAGAAGAGAAATGCACAAAGGCTCCTAGTTTGTTTGTTTGTTTTTGGTCTTTGGCTGATATTTGTGAACACTCAATAACCATGCCCAGCAGGTGCTATAAAACAGAGCAGGTTGTAGCCAGCTTCTACAGTATGAATAAGGATTAAGATCCTTTCTCCCTTTGTTGCTTTTGATAACCTTCAACTTTTCTAGGCAAGAGTTTGCCTTTCTGTGTAGATTTTTGACACATAGCTGCGTAAAACTGTCTAGCTGATCTGCATGAATCTTATTACTTTCTGCCTAGATGTGTGGTACCTTCCAGAATCTGTGCTGCAGAGGGTTAGTTTTGTCCCTCTTGGTTAGCCTGAACACTCTGCCTTGGGATGACTGTCAGGATTCCATTGTTTTTAGACATAGCCCCACCATAGGTAAATCATTAGTATTACTTCTGAGATGAGTCAAACTAGAAGCTTCTTATGGTAGATGTGAGTCCTCTGGCATATGGGTGTTCAAACTTTAATTTTTTTTTTTTGGTGGGATTGGGGATTGGTTCCAGGGCCATGTGCATGTGAGGCAAGCACTCTACCAATTGAGCAAGCCCAAGCTGTATTTTTAAATTTTTAATTACAGCTTGGACTTTAACGTGGAATTTGATCCATGGCTCAGTATATGGTTTGGGGTCTTTGTTAGACTCTGGCTTAATGATGCTATTTGTTTTAATTTTTTCTTTTATTATACTTTTTAATATCTTTAGAGGCCATTAAAACAATTGGTAAATGGAGTATAATAAGTATTTTGTGAAATTAAGTAATATGGAATACTAATAGCAACAGAAAGTTGCACTTGAATATTGAATTATAGATGAGTTTCTCTGGTAATTTTGCATATTAATTACTGAAAATACATGAATGTACTCCAGGTACAGATGAATTCCCTCCCTGATAGAATCATCATTCAGTCTACTAGATTTTTAAAGTTCATTTAAAAAAATATTTATTTTTTTAGTTGTAGTTGGACACAATATCTTTATTTTATTTATTTATTTTTATGTGGGGCTGAGGATCAAACCCAGGGCCTCACATGTGCTAGGCCAGTGTTCTATTGCTGAGCCACAACCTCAGTCCTTAAAGTTAATTTTTTAAAGGTAACATGAACTTAGATTAAGGTGTGAGACAAATTGTGAAAATACCATTTCTGATACTACTCAGTCTTTCTTTTTTTTAATGTAAAAGTACTATCTTTAAAAGAAAATGTGTATTTACAACACTCATTGAAACAAATATATTGGATAATGGCAACAATCCTTGGATGGGAAGCAGCATTGCAAAATTTGACTCTGTTTTGTCACTCCCAAGAATTTCCATTAGGGCTCCAATATAGAATTATTAGTTGTAAAAAGAGATCAGCCAATTTGATGAAGGGGCTATAGGTCTGCAGATAATTGAACAAATATATCATGGTTTAAAAAAATCACACATGAGATGACAATTACAGTGAATAGGACAGAGGAAAGAAAAGGGAAAGAAAAGGAAAAGGAACAATGATGGATTTGTGGGCAATAAAATGTAGTTTCAATACCAGCCTACTTAACATGCTTTCTCAGTAGGAGGCCATTGTTCTTTCTCAAACTCTTTTTGCTTGGCTGTTTTCCTTCACTGTTTAGGAGGAGGACAGTCCTCCTCCCAATCCCCTTCTAGTTTTTGACCACAGACTAAGAGTGTTGCTGAGGTTGTTAGGGAAGTAATGGAATTTGCATCTACAAGCTACAAATGTGGTCAGCCTCTGCAAGGAGGCTTCCATTACAAATGCTCCTGTTATCACTCTGAAATGCTTTATTTCTGGTTAATTTTTTAAAAATAATTTTAATGTTTAAAGAGACTTCTATATTGGGGCTGGGGATGTGGCTCAAGCTGTAGGGCGCTCGCCTGGCATATGTGCGGCCCGGGGTCGATCCTCAGCACCACATACAAACAAAGATGTTGTGTCTGCTGAATACTAAAAAATAAATATTAAAAACATTCTCTCTCTCTCTCTCTCTCTCTCTCTCTCTCTTTAAAAAAAATAAAGAGACTTCTATAGATTATTACTCTTTTCTTTTCCTTTCTTTTAGGGGTGTGCATGCCTTGATATGCAAAATGCACACTGCAAAAGTATTTCAGTATAAGGAGTTAAATTTTGGGGTATGTGTGTGTATGTGTATTATTCTAAAAGTAGGATTTGCAAAACTGGGGAAAATGGGTGCATATTTTAGTATCCAAATACTTTTAGTATTTAAAAGTATTTCTACTTTTAAAGAAAATAATTGGAGAGGTAGGATAGAAAATATAAAAATATGTGGCCAAGTCACAAGTCACAATTAGATTATGTTTTCACACAGGCTTTTGCACACTCTTTCCAGTTGACTAATGACTGAAACAGATTAATGTGTATGGAAGCCACATGGATCAATGGGTTGTACTTCTTGAAAGGATGCAAGTACAGTGCTTACATATCTCCCAAAGTGGCAGGATTAGGTTACTTTACCTACACATGTGTGTATTCCATACCTTGCTTGCCCATGTTTGCCAAGTGCTAAGTCACCACACATGGTCTAAGTAAGGATATGTTTATGGGGACTGTACAACAGAATATTTGGAATTGGGACTATCCTCTGAAATTCATGCATTCAGCATGCATTCATTAAGTCCTTATGGAATGTTTACTAAATGCTGAGCATTATTATGGGTACTGGGGATGCAGTGGTGACAAAATAGTAAAAATTACTTATTCTCTAGAGGGGGTAAATAGACAAATATATATAAGATATTTAAGGTATATTAGTGATACAGTACTAGGGAAAACCAAAGCATAGAAAGAAAGGGGCTAGCAAACATTGCTAGGGCAGTAGAAAATGAAATTTTTGATAGGGAGTGAGTGATATTTATTTCTGGGACATGTGGTTCTTATCCCACAGCTCCAGGTCTCCTGCATAATTTCCTTAGACTATACAACCTGCACAGACCTCAAGAAAAGAGGACCGACATTTCATTGTGTAGAGAGGTTTTACCATTCCAAACAAAACAAAACATTCCAAGCACTTTTTAATTATTGTAGGTTGCCAAAAATCAACTGAAACAACTAAGTAACAAAGAGCTAGAGGTCCTGAGAAAGATGCATAATTTAAAAAAAAAACTGCTCCTAATTCAAACATTTGAGTCTATGTTTCTATACCTCTAATAGGATTGTCATTCTTCCATTAGTTAAGGAGAACAACCATTAGAAAGAAGCAGTAATTCTAGGGCAATGAAGTTCACTTAGTGAGAACATGATACACCTGTCATTTATTGGCTCAAGGAAGCACAAACAGTGGGAGACTCTAAGTTTCCTCCATCTTCTAGAGCATGCCCTGCATGCTGCCTTTATTTGTTTGTTTATTTATTTATTTATTTTTGGCCTATTGGGTTTCCCTACCCTGTTGCATGGGTTTCTGCTCTCCATCCTTATTTTTGTTTGTCAAAACTCTATTCATCTCCTAATGACAGGGG